AAAACACAGTCTTTATGGAATAAAATTCTTTTGGTTTATTGCTTAAGAAATAAGAGATTAATGAATAATTTAGGTTTATAATGTGATTTAACAGATGCAGACCATATAAAGGTTTTTTAAAAAGCACTCTATATTTATAAAGCTAACTGAAAAATGGTGCTTGTGTATTTTCTCTATACCTGGTTTCTTACAAATTCTATAATCTGATATAAGGGGTCTCAGTCTTTTAGTGGGGCTTGTATTGGGTTGTTACTTTAACAAATGCTTCTTATCTTCTTCCCATCCGTTGCTAATTGAGATAGAATGGGTATGAAAGCTGAATTTTTCTTTGTCTAATTCAAAATTTAGAGAGGGCTAGAGCATTTATATAAGGTGCTAGCTCCATCAGGCTGCTTCTGATCCCAGTGAACTGAGATCCTCTGTATTTTCCTGTCTCTCCAGTTTTTATGGTAGTGTTTTTTTTCTGTAACCTTATTTATCAGATGGATAAGGGAAGAATCGTTCACTTTTACTTTGTTCAGCTTTTTGTTGCTGTTGTGAGAATAGTAGTGACTTCCAAGCCCTTTTTCTTGTCAGACCATGATCTAGAATTTGTCCCTAGCATTAGAATTATACCTCTGGTTTAATGTATTTTCTCTAGACTACTATAGAAATATGAGTCACATTTAACTCCTGATGATAACTGACATTATAAATAGAAGTGCATATAATCTAAAAAGAGACTACCAATGCTAATAACATAGAATAGTTAATATTTATTTAATGACTTTTACATATAACCTATGTTATTGGGTATTTACATATATATATGTATTTACATTAACAATAATAATCATGTTAATTGATATACATTATTATCAGCACCGAGTTTTTTTAATAGGTGAAACAAGTTTAGATTGATTTAGTGATAATGCTCAGGAACATACAATTTAGGATTCCAACTCAAGTATTTGAGCCTAGAACCTATATTCTCAATGACTATGGCATACAAATATTCATATTAAGACTGTGAAGATAGAGATTTGGAAAAAATAGAGCTTGTGAGAGAAGGAGGAGCTTCACGTGTATTATTCTATTCATTTGGAACATAGAAAGGGCTGAAAAGGGCAAGGATGAGAGTTAATTTAAAGTTGTGCTCCTAATCTCTTCCATCTTCAAATTTGAGAAAGTTTGTGTTACATAGAGATTGTTAAACATGTGGGTAGGTGCCTCAAGGTGTAGTACAGATTCTAGAGGAAATGAGAGAAGCTTTCTGAGGTGATGGGTGTTAGGTATTTAGATGAAGTTGCTTTGAGGGAAAAAAGTTAATGAGTAATTCATTTGTGTTTGCACTACAGCTAATTCTTAGAATGAAAAGAAATGCTTAAATCAATCGTCCTGATGTTCTTGCTATGAAGAATGAGTTGTATGTTCTGAATGGCACTAAAATAACCATGACAACCAAATCAAGTGAATTAAAAAGCACCTGTAGTTATTAGGATATTATCTTACAATTAGACTGTGAGTATTTCAAGGTGAAAACTCCAAGATCCAAGTGTGGCTGAAAACAGGTTACTTTTACAGTGTCTTGATCAACAAATATTTGTTATGCATTTTGCATTCCCAAGATGGAAATTGCTGGCATGGGACTCTTGCCACACAGGTAGGAATGCCATCCAGGCAAGAAGGGAGGGAGAAAAAAAAGCGTGACTTCAAGGGATAATATTATACTGTTCAAGCAAGTATATCCTACAATAGCCTACTCTATGAGTGGACAGGTAGTCCACATAATGAAGCTTTTTGTTTAACTTAGAAAACTCCAGGAAAACTGTTCGTAAGTAAAATCTTCAAGTTGGTAAAGTTTATTTTAATAGTCCCAGGGGCAATGAATAGTAGAAAAATTATACATTGTCATCAATATTAGGGACATGCACATATTTGATCCTTTGACAGTTTGCCCTGACATCAGGTAAACAATCATCTTGAAACTTGACCTCTGTGCTTCAAACTGCTTTGCCTAACAGGCTCTCAGAATTAAATTAAACAAGTCATGGGGCAATGAGGTATAGCCACATTGTCTGTCTACTAGGAAAGTAGTGGTCAGGGAACAATCCATTACAGCAGTAAGCTTAGCAACCAGTAGCTTAAGGAAGAAACAAGCATCAGTGTCAAGAGCATGGAAGTCTTCTGAGATTCAACATAGATACCCAAACTTAGGTAGAATGTCCAGTAGCAAAACACTGTGAAGGATACATATGTGGGAGAAGTAGGATGGTCATCTATGTGGAATGATGGCAAAAGTGTTTTAAAGGCTCTTTTTGATCAAAATATAGTTCCTTTACTCAACCTGCTAAAATTAGTGTTATAGTGACCTCTTAGGAGGTATGCATTTTCAGTAGGTTACAGTAATATGTTGATGGTAGTTACTTAATTAACTGGTGAAGATTTGTTTTTATATTATTAATTCACAAACATCAATTTTTTTACCAAGCAGTGCTAGAAGTTCTGGAGATATATGATGTTGGATTGGGAAAGTTTAGTAAAGGGAAACATTCTAAGTGCTGGATGACAACTATATATACTGTAGTGGTGCCCAACATGAATGTAACGATTGGGGCCTGCAAACCTGGATTGTGGCTTCTTGGATGGTAGTTAATATTATCTTCATAATGTGAAGTAAGAAATTAAATCCTAAAGAAGAAAATTTTCCTGAGATAACAGAACTTAGATGAACCCTGAATTTCAAACTACAGATATCTTGACTTAAAGAAAATTTTCCACTTCATAATTACACTGTGTCTAGAGGGGTAGGAGTGACCTGACACAACATTTTCTAATGGCATTTAACACACATTTATTTTCAAAAAATTAACATACCCACCTCTATTGATTATTTTTAAGAAATCCTTCACAAGGCTTAATAATAGCTTGGAAGGCATTTGGAATTATTCTAGATTGATCTCAAAATCTAAAGATTCCAGGCTGTTTTTCATCAAGAGTTATTTTCTAACTTCTATACATTCTTTAGTGTTTGTTTCTTGAGGGGAAAAAAACCCAAGCAGTAAGTAGGGAAATAAAAATGGCTAGAACTAATTCCATATGGACTCACACCCAAAATGACATTAGAAAGCAACACTATTTGTCTTTGAATAAAGTAAGCATGTGGGCTCATTTGCCTACTCCTACTATTTCTGTGTGAAAGTGCAGCAGCTCGGTTTTCATTTTCTTTTCCTCTCAAAATGCCCAGAGGACCATATTTTTGTATAATAACCTTCAAAATGATTCTTTAGAAATCTGAGCCTATCAGAGTTCTTCATTTTCCCAGAAACCTTATATCCTAAGGTTTGACTCAGAAACGAATCTCATATAGGTGACAAACTTTGCCAGATATGATATGTAATATAACTACAGACAGACTCTTGACTATTCTTCAGAAAGACTCTAGGGAGTGAAGCAAACTTATATTTAGATCTCTTCCATAGTATTACTTTTATTTACTCTTTGAATATGTATATGGGTAGTTGCACTGGACATAGAGCAAGCATATCTCTTAAATATTATACTTGTGATCTTAAGTGCCAGTTTTTATGTTTTGTTGTCAAAAGTCCTGCTAACAAAAAAATTGTTATAGTGAAAAGCTAATGAATGGGTAACCACTCTCACAATTTTACACACACACACAAAAGTATTTACAGCTGAAAATTTAGTCAGCATTGATTTTAACATTACACAAATGTTTAAGGTATGTGTGTGATGGGTAAAGTGGAAGAGCGAGGAGGGGAAGGTACAGATATTGTATACGCTGTAGTGGGGCAACTGAAAAGCACTTGCAACTATTGTCCACATAATCTGCCTCACAGTCAATTTTATTATTGCCTCAACTGAAAGATTCAGAATTTACATAATAAAAACCTTTCTCCCTGATCATTCAACACTTCCTCACAGCTATCCCCTGCACTTCCACTGAAGTTTGTACAGTATTTGGCTACCACTTTGGTTGACAATTTGTGGTGAGTACTAGATTGAAACAAAATATAAAAAGATGTCTGGGAAAATTTCCAGCAGACAGTGCTACTTGGCAAAATATTCTCATATTTGGTTATTGCTTTCTATTTTCTGGAAAAGTGTTACTGACTATAAAACTGTTGTGCATGCTTTTCTAGCTAAGTGCAATCCAAGTTGTAAGACTTCTTTACATTCCCATTAGGAAAGCAAGAGAACTGGCTTCAAAAGTTAAATTTTATTCTCTGATTATGTATCACAGGACTTACAAAGTAAATGGATGATTTCTCTATGCTGTTACTATAACAAAGTACATCCTCATTTTGCCTACCTGTCTTTCTAGAGAACTTAAACCTAATTTTCTAGACTGTTTTTCTTCCTCTCAAATTGATCTCTTGACTACAAGGAAGGAGTCTGGAATATTAGTATTAGTTCTTACAATAAATAGTAATGAATGAAACAATTGCAAACTTAAATGCCAATCTAAAAGCTTATTATAAATGTTTAGTAATGCTTAAGACTCCCCTGGAGTATACTAAATATCTAAATGAACCATATCTCTTAGAACTCTTAGGAAACAACCCTGTCAAATAGAAAGAATCAGGACATTATAATAAGATTTAGCAGCTTTTAAGTTTCAACTATACCTCTTTTGCATTTAGGGACCTTGTGTGCTTTTCTATTTTTTCACAATGCTTCTAAAGTATTCTTTTGGGGTCAAGATTTAAAAGTGTCTTTTCACGTGATAGTTATGATACTTGAACTGGACATAATAAGATATGCTTAAATGATGTTGTTGGCCATTGATTTAACTCCTTAGTTACATATTTTGAAAATTATAAAGATATATCCAAAATAGTAAAAATAGTAAGACAGGGCCAGGGATTTAGCTCAGTGGTTTCGCCGCCTGCTGTGCAAGCACAAGGACCCGAGTTCGATCCCCGGTACTAAAAAAAAAAAGTAAGACATAGTGATATAAATGTTCATTTTCCACTTACTTGAAAACTTTTTCTTTGTAGGAATGCAAGCCAAAAATGTGGAGAAGCATAATAGTACAGAAGGGAAACACTCTTCTAATCCAGGAAGTTCAAGAAGAAGATGGAGGAAATTACACATGTGAATTTAAGTATGAAGGGAAAGTTGTAAGGCGAACAACTGAACTGAAAGTTACAGGTAGGTAATGGTTCTAATAAATGATGGCAAATGAGATCTTAGTATAATTTGGATTGAGAAGAAAAAATCTTGTTCAGAAAGCCAACTTGCTATGAATTTAAAACTAGCTGCAAAGCAAATATTTGAAAAGCTTATTTATAAGTTGCAAAAATAAATGCTATATGATGAATATGATTAATTTAGAGATCAAGTGCCTAATTGCTGCCTCTGTGTTTTCTGCCTGTTTGAAAGTTTGTTAAGTCTTCAGTATATCATTGATTGTTAGGATGAATTTCAGAAAAGATATAATGGAACCACTCTAGAATGTTGACTTAACCCATGCGTATAAGCTCCATGTAAGTGAAAACATCTTCCAAAATGAGGTTCTATTGAAATTTTGGAATGAAATCATTTTGAACTTCATTCAGAATAACATTTATAGAAAATTCTCCATAGGTGAATGATGGTATTGTGAACATCTAGTGACTCTTAGATAGAGTAACTCCAAGAGTATGCACGTGCATATTTTAAATCTGAAGTATAAGCAAAATATAAAATAGTAACTCTTGGAGTACAAGAGATAAACCTAGGATACTCTAACCTCATAGAAAAATTTAAGAAGTAATTTTCAGAAGCACAGGATGCAGTCTAATATCATGAAGACATCTCTCGATGATAAATGTGATGGACTATAAGAAACTGTATGGCAAAATTCTACTTACTGTTGCTTATGAGAAAATCTTGGTTAATTTACCATTAACAGATTGAGTATCCCTTACTTAAAATGTTTTGGACCAGAAGTGTTTCAAATTTCAGGTATTTTCAGAATTTTGAATATTTACATATACAAATGAGATATCTTGGTGAAGGACCCTACATATAAATTTGAAATTCATTTATATTTCATACACATTTCATATGTATAGTATAACAGTTATTTTATACAATATTTTAATGCAACTGCACTTTTTCTCCTGTGGCCCATTGCATGATTTCAAGTGTATAGTTTCTTATGATGGCGTCATTTTGGCACTCAAAAAATTTTGAATTTTGGAGCATTTAAGATGAATGTATAACAGAATAAAATAGTGATTATCATGGGCAAGGCATGGGGAATAGTGAGATCTGGGTCAAATGATAGAAGTACAAAGTTGTAGTCATATAGAATAAATAAGTATAGTGATTTTACGTACAGCATGATGACTATAGTTAATAATGTTGTATTTAAAATTTCCTAAGAATGTAGATTTCAGGGCTGGGGATTTAGCTCAGTGGTGCCTGAGCTGACATTGCAAGTACAAGGTCCTGAGTTTGATCCCTGGTACAAAAAAGAAAGAAAGAAAGAAAGAAAGAAAGAAAGAAAGAAAGAAAGAAAGAAAGAAAGAAAAAGGATGTAGATTTCAGGCATATTTACCACAAAAAATAAAAGTAATTATATGAGGGCATATATATGTTAATTTTCTTGACAGAATTAATCATTTCACAATGTATACATAAGTTGTGAAAAAAATCATGCAGAATATTGAAGTTTTAAAATTGTATTACAGTAAAAAACACATTACCATTAATCCTTCTCAAAATACTGCCCTTCACTTTGAACACACTTCTCTCATCTTTATTGCTACTTTCTGGAGCAGTTCTGGAAGTCTTCGTTTGTCAGTATCTTTAGTTATGCTTTCATGGCTGCCTTAATGTGCTGAATTGAATTAAAATGTTTACCTTTCATGGTCATGAAGTTGTAGAATGCCAGATTCAGTTAATAAGGAATGAGGACACAGCATACTGTTTTAACAAGCCTACATTTTTATTGGATGGCACATAGCAAAATCATTTGCTGTATTTTAAAGCAGAACTTGTTTTTTTCTAATTTTTGTATGGTTGTAATTTAATTGTCAAAGAATATTAGATGTATGTCTAAGATAATAAGAAAAAATAATTACTAGACGGAAACTTACTATTTGACCCATATTGTGTTCTTCTGGAGTTTCATTTTTTAAATTTTAATATACTATAAGCAGATATTAATAAAGAAAATGTAAAAGCCATTCTATGAAAAAATAATTTTTCATAACAAAATCATTAGAGTATAACAATGGTAAATACACTGTGTATTATGATCTAAAAAAATGCAAAAATAAAGACCAAAAAGAATAAATATAGTGAAATAAGAAGAAATTGTTCAAAATTACAAAGAATATGAGATAGTTTGAGAATACTTAAAATGTTTTAGGCAAAAAGAGGTATAATGTAATTAGGGAATGAGCTGAGAGATTAGCAAATGAAAATATATTCTTTTTCAGAATGTTAAAGACACTTATAAAATAGGATATCAAGAACTGCTTCAGAAAGTGGAAAGAATGATGGAATCTCTGTGTTTGAAGCAAGGAGGGGTTTTTGAAGCAATTTTACAGCAATATCTTTTTTTTTCTTTTTTTTGCATTAAATTCTTTTATTGGTACATTGTAGGTATACAACACAATTACATTTCTCATTGGGAATTGTACCTTTACA